TGTATCTGATAAGAACGGATAGTTTATTCTTAGCCGACTGGCCGAGAAGCGACAAGTATCTGATAAGAAAAGATGGTTTATTCTTAGCCGACTGGCTGAGAAGCAATATTAGCAGATGTTAAGCTGATAAGAACGGATAGTTAATTCTTAGCCGACTGGCCGAGAAGCGACAAGTATCTGATAAGAAAAGATGGTTTATTCTTAACCGATAGGCCGAGAAGTGACATGTATCTGATAAGAACGGATAGTTTATTCTTAGCCGACTGGCCGAGAAGCGACAAGTATATGATAAGAAAATATGGTTTATTCTTAGCCGACTGGCTGAGAAGCGATATTAGCAGATGTTAAGCTGATAAGAACAGTTGAATTATTCTTAGGCGACTGGCCGAGAAGCGACATGTATCTGATAAGAACGGATAGTTTATTCTTAGCCGACTGGCCGAGAAGCGACAAGTATCTGATAAGAAAAGATGGTTTATTCTTAGCCGACTGGCTGAGAAGCAATATTAGCAGATGTTAAGCTGATAAGAACGGATAGTTAATTCTTAGCCGACTGGCCGAGAAGCGACAAGTATCTGATAAGAAAAGATGGTTTATTCCTAGCCGACTGGCCGAGAAGCGACAAGTATCTGATAAGAACAGATAGTTTATTCTTAACCGATAGGCCGAGAAGTGACATGTATCTGATAAGAATGGATAGTTTTTCTTAGCTGACTGGCCGAGAAGCGACATGTATCTGATAAGAACAGTTAATTTATTCTTAGGCGACTGGCCGAGAAGCGACAAGTATCTGATAAGAACAGATAGTTTATTCTTAGCCGATAGGCCGAGAAGCGACATGTATCTGATAAGAATGGATAGTTTATTCTTAGCTGACTGGCCGAGAAGCGACATGTATCTGATAAGAACAGTTAATTTATTCTTAGGTGACTGGCGGAGAAGCGACATGTATCTGATAAGAACGGATAGTTTATTCTTAGCCGACTGGCCGAGAAGCGACAAGTATCTGATAAGAAAAGGTGGTTTATTCTTAGCCGACTGGCTGAGATGCTGTAACGGGGACACTTGACACCCCGTTACCACTCGTCCTAAAATACGCTTACTGGACATATATCAATAAGACAACAGGTAGGGGAGACAGCGAACACACAGGACAATAGCCTTCGCGCGGACCCCAACGAGCAGTTGAGACTTGACCATCCTCGAACTGCGATTAACGACCACTTTAGCCCTCATCTGATTTACGCACTTTACCACGCTTTAACGCCGCCTATTACCATCCCGCATCGTGTGTGTTCGCTCGTCTCTACTTCTACAGGACCAGCTGACAATCTCAGGGACCCAGGTAGATAGTGTATTTTATATATATATTGTATAGTTAGTTTTACCTTATAAATAAATAGTTATAGTTGCATACCTCAGAGTTACGTCATTCAAAGGCACGACCGCCCGTTTAGCCCCTCGTGCAGTGCATATAAATATATAATGGGGACTTTGGGTTTTACTTAAGTGTAGACACGGGGTAGCTTCCCGTTCTCAAGCCGAGATCTACTTACTCGATCCCATCGGCGACCGTTCAGTCCAGGATTAGCCCCTAGGCGTGCAGGCTCGTTACAATGCGAAATTAGCAGTTTTCATTCTGATAAGAACGGTTAGGTTTAAAAAATATAATGTATGGATGAAAGTGGGTGTGCGTATCTAAGTCTCGCGTATGTCCGTTCTGTGTACTTATAAGTAGTTTAAGGCCGTTTTCGTATATTTTCCTGGTAACAAAAATGTAGATTATTCGCTAGTGGGCAAACAATTTAATTTCTATAGATAAAAAAAAAGTTATACCGTCGTTTATTAAAGTAATAAAAACAACGATTTGAAAAAATTGTATAAAGAATTGCCAACGGCACGCAGTGTTCCCAAGCGGTCACCCATCCAAGTACTAACTACGCCCGACGTTGCTTAACTTCAGTGAACGGACGAGAACTGGTGTATTCAACGTGGTATGGTCGTTGGCGAAAGAAGTGAGTTTGTTTTACTTATTTCAACACAAAACTATAATGATTATGCTTTAATATTATTTAAATGTGTTATATTGTATACGTACTGCATACATTTAGTTCCTAGTGGAAAAAAAATTATACAATACAAACAAATCACATAATTTAATTATTATATTGTGCACGTATAAAATATGTTGAATACGTTGTTGGTCGATGATTAGGCGTAATGATGTTAAACACTGTATTGATGAGACAATATAGAAATTTGGCTATCATGAACCATGACAAAACGTACAATATACAATTACAAATTAGTATCATTAATAATAAACAATTTATAAATAATGTTAGTCTTTGGTTGCTATAGAACCAAGAAAATACTAATAAAAATGTGACAATTATTTCTAAAATGTGACACAATATTCGTCTTCTACGCGTAGTTAATAAACCTCAGAATTTTGTAAATAACTCTAAAGAAAAAATTATAAAAAAAAAAACAGTATGTAAATATAATTTATCTAAACAATTTTCAAACTGAATTTTAACTTCTTTTATCAATATTTTGAATGTTATTGTTTGGAACCACTTCAATAAACACGTGACTCATATTCCATACACTGTTATGTTATACGTATTATGGACATTTTAAAAACTGAATTTTTAAAATTTTAAATTGGTTACTATGAGATAATTTTGCATTTTTACCGTGTCATACATACATTGTGATTGAAAATTATTAAAATGTTGATTTGACTGAATGAAATGTTGGTTGCTAAGGAGCCGTTTCTAAATAAATATGCCATTAATTATTATTAAATATGTATAATTTATATTTTGGTTGCCATGGCGTACAATTTTAAATTTATACGTAATAATATAGCCATAAGTAGCATTAAATTAATTAATTATGTAGTTGATAATATTAAATGACAACACAAGTAGTGTCAGCCATTTGATTATGTACCAATAACCGCATAAAATTTAAAAGTTGTTCTTCTGCAGTGAAAAGTGAAAATTGCAATCCTTGTCGAGTCTGTTATGTGTAACAGACGGATTGAATAAAAATGAATTTGATTAATAAGTGACATATTATAAATTTTGTAATATTATAATAGTAGTAGGCACACTCACATCTCACACGTCTTCGTTTTAATTTTTATTGCCCTGTGAACATTTAGTATTATGAGCCCAGCTCGAAAGTCGGGCATAAGAAAAATTATTTATCTAGACTCCTATGAGTGCTCCCCTCCACGTATATCTTTAGTAAAAGGCGAACGATTGATTCGTATTGAAAGGGAACCGAAGTTGACCGAATTTAATGCATTATGTATTCATTATTATAGTAGTTGTGTTTTTTACTGTTTAGTGTTTTGTGCTTTCTCCACAATAGTCTCCTACAGAAAATATAAATAATAAATCTCCGTCCAAACGTACACCAGTAAAATCACTTTCAACGAAAACTCCGGCAAAGAATTCTTCATTCAAGTCGCCAACAGTGAAAATTATAAGTTTAAATACTAAAACCCTATTTGAGTATAACTTAAATATAAAACTCAACAATGTATTTTTAAATACTAAAAATCGAAAATAATTCGACAACATACTTATAACAACATAATATATTTTTATATCATTATTCTTTACAACTTTACTAGTAATAATACATAAAGTCATTTATTACGAACACCTGTGAGTGAACATCTCTAACAGGTCTTCAGCAATCAGCAGATTGCTCGCTATTACATTACTACTTTAATTTTGAAACCACTCAGACTGTTCGAACACCTTCCAGCGAACTGGTTGCGATCATCGTCGCTAGATAGTCATAACCACGCAAATAGTAGACCACTAGCAGCCTCACGCTCTGGCGATTGAACTAGTCTCATCATCATGGCTGACGACGACTCCAGATTTGCACCTGGAGGGGACGATGCATACTACAGAAATGATCCTGTGAAGTATGATCTTAACTGGAAAGATTGCCAACGATCCATACTTATGGTCGTCGTCAGTGAGTTAACCGGAGTTACCCAAAGTGATCGAGTAAAACTGTCAAAAGTAATTTTCACCCCACGCGTAATATTTAATATACTTATTTTTTGCACACGACTTACATTAGACGACGCCTAGTTGTTTTCAATCAATAGTAAACATTCTTAGTCAGTTGTAAGTATTTCATATCGTCCATCGAAGTTACCGGCTTAATAGTAGTTCACAAACAGAGCCATCTACCGTCAACATTCTACACCTAATAGACGGCAAAATACCAAAATGAACTATTTACATTTTACTCCAGTATCGTCACAGCTATTACACGTTGTACTAGGTATTGATTATACATATTATAATATTATAATCAATGATTATATCCTGTTTATTTCATTATCATAATCGTGAGAGCAAAAAGGTTAACTTTATTTTGTTGATTGTCCAGGTACAAAGTGTTGAACACTAAAAAAAAATAGCCATATAGACACAAGTCCCCGGGTGCCTATTTGATTCTATATAAGAACGACTGCAAGTTTCCTAATGTAATATTTGCTCTCTTAGACTTATCTCATCAATAAGCCGCTATAGTAAGTGAATAGACGGTCTCCCTCCCCAGAGGGTCGCAAAACATAGTACGAACATAATATAAAATATTTACTTTTGTGACATTTGTGCTTCTTTGATAGGTACCTACCTAATTATTATAGGATTTAGATTTTAAGTGTCTGTTAACCGTGTGTATCAAAATATGACCTAATCTTATATTGAAACTTAATTTATACGAATAAGAATATTTACTTGTTTACCAATATTGTTCACTAAATTGTGTAGGTAGGTATCATTTGATAAAAATTAAACCTACAAAGCTTAGAAAACAAGTTTTTAAAAAGGTACCTTATTTCATACATTTTAAATTTTATGAGATGAAGGGGTTCACTGATAATATATTCTTATCACAAAATAAATTCTTTCAAATTATAATGTGTGATAATAATATTATTGTTCTTGACAAATGATAATATAGTACTGAAGATTCTAAGACCATAAGTCATTATGTATCAATAGTTATTATATAATAATTATTATTATAATAGTTGTGTTTAATATTTAGTGTTTTGTGCTATCTCCACTATAGTCTCCTACAGAAAATATTAATGATAAATCACCGTCCAAACGTACTCAAGTAAAATCACTTACTCATTGAAAACTCCGGTAAAGAATATTAGAGAAAGCAATCTTCATTCATGCTGCCAACAGTGAAAATGTTTACTATCAAACCGTCTAACAAACCAACAGCAGTTTCAATGAGTAATTTTGTCGATCATTTTTATGCTACAGAAAAACGGTTAGAATCTCCCAGAACTTTACCTAAGAGCAGAGAAATGCTTTATGAATCAAGTTCTTATGCACAACTTGCTCAATGTGTTGATTCTTTAAAGCACCAATTAAGAACAAGTTGTTTGATAGTTTGATGACTGATGAGAGTATAAAATGTGCTTTGAAAATAATAACTTTTTGTGGAACTATGAACTTGGATAATAACTTCTTAGACTAAATTTCGTAACGATATTGTAGCGGACGAAAATGACTGGACGTTATATGATTCTACGACTTCAAGATAACCGTGAGTACATACGTAAAAGGCCTCTTCAGTACCTTAAAAAATGTATTTTCTTAATATATGTAATACGATGGTTAATTTTAAAATTGTAACCCAATACATACAACACAACAATAATTTAAGTATTGATTAAATATAGTAAAAGTGTTAATAGATTTTTTTACTGATTGTTGTACGTATATGGTACTGACATAAACGACAAATTACATTTAAATCATCTGACTATTGTAATTAATATAGGCTTGATAATAACTGAAATATACATCACAAAAATGTTTGTTTGCATGTCGTTTTTTGTACGTTTAATATTATTTTGGTTAACAAAATAGAACAATGTTCAATACATTTTTCTTTATGCTCTTGAAAACTATGAAAAATGTCCCTTATGCTAACAGCCAAACAGACTTTTAACCGCCGAACTATGTATTCAAAGTTCATGGGTAGTTATTACTTATAAATGTATTTACTTTTGAATTTTTTTATTTTTTCAGTTACTAACACCAACGGATTGATACAACAACAACAAGGTTACTACTAAAAATTATTAAAATAGTTTTCATAAATTTACTCGAGTTTTAAACTCGCAAGATGTCATAATTCATAGAAATTGATGCAAGAATGAATATTCAATCGTACTACATTTGAAAACATGAGGTGTATGTATCAGTTATATTTTTAAATTAAATATATTAAACGTTACATATTTTTATTGTTAATTGATTTTTGTATTATCAGATTGATGTTTATTTAAAAAAAGCCAAGCTCTGCTCAGAATAACTACTTGATACAATCGAGGGACACGCATACAAGACTGATCAAAATGTTGGTGAAGTTTTATTTTTTTGTTAGTTATTTAAATTAAAATAACTAAAATTCTGTAATAATATATCCATAAATAATAATATCAATGGCATAGTGCACAAGTGTGATGTATGATTTTTTTTTTTATAATTTTAAATATTATTATGTATTTACTGAACTTATGGCAAGTTCTCTAGTAGCAGTAATTTTTAATCAAGTTATTATAAATAATATAAGTATACAAATAATAATATTAAATTAGTATTTTAAAATGATTTTTCTTCTAAAATAATTATTTTTTGCTCTGATAATTTGACAAGTATTTTTTACATCACTGAAAATTCTATGATGTGTAGTTCTGTGAATTGCTCTACATAACTAATTTTCTCCGGAAAAAAAATGCTCTCATCGCACTTGTGCACGACTATTGAAGTGCGTTTAATACTTGGTATGCTTTTAACTAATAATAACAATAACTGTTAAATAAATTATAACTAGCCATAGATAACCGAATTTTTTTTTTGCATAAACATTAAGTTTTGTACGTAATAATAATTTTATATTTTTTTATTTGAATATTGAACGAGTAATAAACTTAATATGTATGAATTTTACTATTAATTAGAGTGTATTAATTTATTATTAATTTTATGTTTAACAAATTCACGTTTTCAACTATTTTTTAAGGTATTTTTTTTTTTACGTTATTTATTCATTATTCATTGACAAACTGTATATCGCCGCCCCGGTAGAACAATAACACAACTACAAAATTTGGTAAAATGGACTAAATGCTTCAATGTGTTTAGATATAGCGACGCATAAGGTACAAAAACGACGTAATTGTAGTTGTAATAATTAATTGTGCATTCACACATTTTTTAGTGAAAAATAATTTGGTTTTTTGGTTCTCTGTGAAATTTCAACTATTGCAGTTGTGTCATTATTCTACCGGGGTGGCGATATATTAATTTTTTTATAATTTTTGTAGCAATTTCATCTAATTTTATTTTTCTTCCAGATCATCCAAGACGTCAAATGAAGGAACGAAAATCGGATGTTTTATTAAACTGAATGAACTCATCTTTAATTGAACTCAAGTGCCAAAACAAAGAATTTGCCGTAAAACTATTTTATAACTGCATATATGAAATTAATTTCTTTCTCTTAGATTTCTTGATATATTTTTATGAAAAATTATGTATGTTAATGTATCTAATATCAGAGTAATAATATCATCTTGTATACTGTACACAATTTAAATACTTCAAAATTACGTTATAATTGAAAAAAACCAACCAAATAAATTATTTGTAAAAAAAAAAGTTTATTTATATACTAAAAACAAAATATTGATTTTTTTTGTTTTTAGTTTGTAAGTAGAAAATATTTTATTTTTTATGAATAAAATATAAGTTATTATTGTTAGTAAAAACAGGTAACTTGATCAGTCATTACTTTCCAAAGCAAATAGTAGTAATTTTTAAACATAACTGTATGGACGTTACACATAAAAACAAATTGTGCATTATAACTTTAAATTAGTATATTTTTTGTTTGGATAATTTAATATTTTATTATACGTATTGATTTAAATAGTTTGTTTACTATTACAATATTATTACATGTGAATTTCTTTATTATAATTAATTTCTTTTTATTCTTATTAAGTATAAGTATCATTAATAAAAAAATAGTTCAAACAAAACAAATGTTCAATTATAGTTCATATTTATTGTAAATTAGTAGATAATTTGTCTGAACGATGACTGATGAGACAGTATGCAGGTATCGTTTCCTCTGTGCCGTAAAGTGTATGTTTCCGTCAGTAATAGTGCTACAGGCTTTTGAGAAAAATTATGTATTTATATAATACTATTATGACTATAATGGCATAATAATATTATATAGGTACATAATTTTTTTTATAAATGTCTAACATGTAAATGTTCATAATTATTTTTAAAAAATGTGTTTAAGTTATAGAAATAGAAATTGTAGCAACATATGACATAAGCATGTATATTATATAAGTTTTTATTTTAGTTTTACATATTTTTATTTGTAAAAAAAAATGTTTATTCATCTAAAATGTTGTTTTCTTTATCTTTAATAAATATAAAAAGTATCAGTTATAAAAAATAGTTAAAACGAAACAAATGTTCAATTATAGTTCATATTAATTAAAAATTGGTAGATATTTTGTCCGACCAATGGGACAGTATGCAGGTTTTGTTTACTCAGACCCGTATCATATATGTTGCTATCAGTAATAGTGCTATAGCCTTTTGGGGGAAATGATGTATCTACAATATACCATATGTAAAATACTAAAATTCCACTTCTTCTATAGAAAGATCATATTCTCTTCACCAAGTCTTAGCAATTTTTTTTTCTTTGTTGCTATTTTATTTGAACGTCAACATCTTTATAAAAAATATTTTAACCCTAACGAAAAATATATTATCAAAAAATTATTATTTTACTATTATTGTGACCGTTACGATGGTGTTCAATAAAATATATTAAGTTTTAATTAAGATTTACAAAAAAACTTTTAAATATGTATTGCCATTGGTTAATAAATGTATTGAATAATAAATGCATATTATTATTATTTTTTTAAACATGCACAGTGAATGAACATAATAATTAATAATATTTTTAGCGACCATAATTCACGGATTGTTATTCTTCTAAAACTTGTACTCTATCTGTTTAATATTAGGCGGGTGCAACTTGATGGAAAACATTTTGAAAATAAACAATAGTCATTATTTTAAATTTGGTTACTATAGTAAAAATACTTTAACAAAAATTTATATTTTAAGGAAAACACATTTTAAACAAAACTATACTTTTTTTTTTTAAATTTGAAGGTTGTATTTATTTAAAAAAAAGAGTATGACCTTACACAGCATTCATAGTTCTATCGACGCCTTAAACCCGTAAAGTTTTAAAAATTATTGTAGATTTTGATTTTGAATTCAAAAAGACTATAAATGAAGTTTTGACGGTCCAAAATCATTTTGGAATGTGACTTTCCCAACATACAATAGAGAATTTTGACTTTTGCAAATCAATTTTGGATTTAATATCTCCAAAATACTAGAAGTTTTTGAATCTACCATACAAATTTTTAATTTTGATGATAATTTTATTTTTACCGGAAAATTTTTGAATTTACAAAATAATTTTGGATTTTGAGTTTTTTTAAATACTAGATCCTTTAGGTTGTTTGCATTTTCCTTACGTTTTGAGTTTTCCAAAACGCTATAAGATAAATTTTAACGGCCAAAATAATTTTGAAATTTGAATTTCCCAAAAAACCTAATGTAGGATTTGGACTTTTGCAAAATAATTTTGGATTTTGAATTTTCCCAAATTTTGAAAATAAATATTATATCACTGCAAGCATAACAGTAGTGCTATCTAACGGATGTACAGTAAAGCAGTAGAGAAGGCGGCTATACACAAATGCGCGGACCGCATTGCCTGCGGCTGCCGGTAGACACCGCTGACGCTGAATTTTTTTTGAGTTTGTGAAATATTGGCAGGTTTTTTTCAAAAATTCGATCTAAAATCTTTACGAAATCTTTTTGAAACGTATTATTTAAATTGTAATTGATATTTACAAGAAATTAGAGCAACTTTTAGCACGTTTTCGTGCATATTTCGAGCGTTTTTGGCAATTTTTTCGAGTTTTCCAAAATTATCGTTCTGCGTTTTGTTTGTGCGTTTGTTTTTTGATAAATAGAATGTAGTTTGCTTCTGTAAGTATCGCTTCTCGGCCTATCGGCTAAGATCAAAGTGTAGTATCTGTTCTTATCAGCTTAACGCCACGCTAAGCGCGAGCGTTGAGTCTGATTTTTGTTTTTGAACAGGCGGCGCAATAGCCGCACTACGCTCTTTTTCGGTAAGGTCGAGATCGGTAGGAGTAGGGACTGTCTAGGAACTGATTGTCTTTTTTACGCTAGTCCTTGTAAGGACAGGCCTCAAGGCTAGAACGGCATCTGCCATATAGAACAGAGTATTAACACCCGCTCTCCAAGGACGGTCACGACCGTCAGGCGAGAGGGTGAGGTTCACCACTCCCACCCGGGAGGGCGAGAGTAGAACACCGAAATCGCCTCAAAACTCCCACCCGCCCTTAGGCTCGCGAGCTGCGGGAAGGGCGAAGTAGTCACATAGTTATTTAAACACACAGTTACCGAGCAGAGTTTTTATACGCGTTACCGCAATAATGCATCCTTTCGTGATTTTTATTGTATTTTACGTCGGTGTGTTATTGTGTGCGTCCAGTGAATTATTTTGTTTGAGTTCGTGAATACATTTTTATTTGAATTATTCCTATTTTTTTTTGATTACTTTCGTGTTAATTGTTAAATTATTCTTCTTTTTTTTTTTTACGTCGCGTGTCAATTATAAATGGGTTTGGTATTACCCCCGTCGGGATGAGTTACGCGGGAGACAGCCAGGTGGCCGGTGCGTCTCGAGAGCCTGATCCGCCACAGCGAGTCACGCGAGCGACTGCGTCCCAAACGCGTCCGTCGGTGGACTACCGTGAGAGCGATGGCGAAGCGGTCGAGCACGAGGAGCAGGCGGCACCCGCCACTAGCCGAACGCGGCGAACCGCCCGGGCGGTGAACGCGGAGCGTCCGCGAACACGGGGCGAACCTCCCGGAACGAGCAGTGGAGCGGCCACGGTGCAGCGTCGGCAGCCGACCCTGGAAGGCGAGGCGCTGACCGTGTGGTATCCTACTCGCTCGTGTATAACGTGCCCAATACCGGGGTGTGCAGGATCGTTCAGTGCCGCCGTTTGGACCCAGTCCAAGCAGTCCTTAATGAGGCATTTGAGGGAGATGCACGACCTCGTGGGGCTGACCACGTCGGTAGTGTGCGTGGGGTGCGAAATGACGATGGGTTTGAGGCCGGGTGCACACAAATGCGACCGGTCGATAGCCGCGGACGACGAAGCCGTAACCGTTAACCGTTATAAGTGCCGAGAGGAGGAGTGTGGTAGGTCGTTTCCCAGTAAACAGGGCCTGGCCAACCACACGCGGGACCACCGCAGGCGCGTGATCGCCGAGGCCGCAGCCGTCGTCATGCCCGTGCCGGCCACGAGGCAGCGAGGTGGTGTTCCTCGCACCGGTAGAGGCGGGGACCCGAGGATACCGGAGGTAACGGTTATGCCACCAGACACATCGCCACCCCAACGGATCGCTACACCCGTTCCGCCGCCGATCGAATCACCTCTGCGGGTTTTGAGGCCCGCTCAGACCCGGGTTCCGACGCCGGTCCGACCGGTGGAGGCGAGGCTTATCACACCCCCCGAGCCGCGGCGGGATTCACCACGGAACGAAGGGTATGTGGTGACATACGCGAGCCCCGAGCTGTGGACGCCCAGTCCGCTGGCTAGTACCCAGGCCTCCGACCAGGGGAACAACACGGAGGAAGTAGCGGATAGCGTAGTCGAAGACGAAGAGGGCTCCTCGGACATTGACCACCCTCTACGGCCTGATGACACTACCGCTATACACGCTCACCTCCCGTGTGTGCTCGAGATCTTGGCGGCGCCGACGACGGCCGACACGTGGGATAGGTTTACCGGTCTGGTGGAGCGGATTACCGCCGACGCCAAGGCGATGGCGAAGATACCAGACAGGCCCCCTAGGACCAACGTAAGAGCGCGGGTTAACGTGGAGGATGCCGAGGCTCTGCAAAAGCTATACCGGAGAAACAGGAGAAAGGCGGTTCGCGCTATTGTCGGGGGCGACGGCGTGCGATGTGAGATACCGGTCGAGGAGGTCGAGGCCCACTTTCGGGCGGTATGGGCTGGCACGGAGGGCGACCCTACTATATACCCATCGTACGACGACCGACGACCGATGCCCACCGGCGGGTTCACGGCCGTGGAAGTCGAAAAAAGGCTGAAAAAATTTGAAAATACCGCGCCCGGAGACGACGGGCTGACGTACCGGCACTGGCGCCTGATCGACCCGCGATGTGCACTGCTGACGGCAATATTTAATGTCTGTTTGAAGCACCGGAGGGTGCCTGGCCAATGGAAAAGTGCGACCACGGTGCTAATTCACAAGAAAGGCGACGTCGGGGAGCTAGGCAACTGGAGGCCCATCGCCTTGAGCCGGACGATTTACAAACTTTACGCAGGGTGCCTTGCTAAGAGGTTGACTGCGTGGCTGATGGAGAACCATGCCATAAGTCCGGGCCAGAAAGGCTTTCTGCCGGCCGACGGCGCCTTCGAGCATGTTCACACACTGCAGCGGACACTAGAGCGTGCACGCACCGGACGAGCCGACAAGTGCGTCGCATGGCTCGACGTGTCCAATGCGTTCGGGGCAGTACCGCACGGCTCGCTAGTCGAAGCGGTCAGGGCGTCTGGAGCGGGCGATGTACTGGCGGACATAATCGCCGATATATACCGGGGTGCGGTGTCATGTGTGAGCTCATCGGACGGTGTGACGGGTGAGATACCCGTGTTGTCCGGAATCAAGCAGGGTTGTCCGCTGAGCGGACTCTTGTTCATCATGGCTATCGACCCCGTCGTTCGAGAGCTACAAGGCCAAAGTGAGGAACACAGAGTCCTCGCGTTTGCCGATGATCTCTGTATAATTGGTGACAGCCCGCCGGAACTGCAGGCGGCTGTACGGACGGCCGAAGAACAGCTGGGCCGGATTGCATTAAAAGTGAATGCTGCGAAGTGCGCCTCGTTGCACCTATCGGGTATCACTCCGGTTGGTGCCCGTGAGACGGTCTTTACGGTAGCCGGGGGCCAGATGCGGACGCTCAGCGAGGGAGATGCTGCGGTCTTTCTGGGGGTCCAGGTCGGCTTCAATATCGTGCCACCGATGTCGACGTTGGCCGATATTACCGACCTGGGCCTTAGGATAGTGCGCAGCAAACTTGCACCATGGCAGCGGCTCGACGCCCTAAAGACATTCTTTTATCCGGCGGCCACTTTTTCCCAAAGGTTCAGCGAGTTTAAAAAGACAGA